AGGGGGTGGAGATTCACTCTCTTGCGAGCTTAAGGGGGTGAGGGGGGGGGGCACCTTTGTTAATCCCCTGGTTACGCTCACCTGTGGCACACTTGGATAGAGGATGGCTTTTAGAAAGAATACATTGTCATACCTTAAATGTTGGCCAGTGAGAGTCTGTGTCCAACCACACTCGCTTCTTTCACACCCTCCAACAGCAGAGCTCTCCCCATTGTTACAACCCGGCTCCAAGGCTGCAACATAAGGGAGACAAGACGAGTGGAAAAACAATAAGTAGACATTTATTTAACGAACAAATAACTAAACTAAACTAATCAATCAATCAATCAATCAATCAATCAATCCAATGAAGCAGCAGCCGTGCCAGCCCAGGAGAGTAGAGCAGCCAAAGAGGAGGACCACAGCCATGGTCAGATGGTGCCTCTTTATAGCTGGTACTTCCAGCAGGCTCAGGTGTGGCTCATCAGCAGAGGATTAACGTCCTGCAACACAGAATAGACAGCAACCAGGACACAGGGGTCGTCACACCATTGTGACGCACTGACAGCTTGTGATCCAGTGGAGAGTCTTCCTCAGAGGAAACTTCTTGTTGTCTCGGACCTGCAGAGCTTCAAACAGATGTACAGATGGACATGAATCATACTACGTTTAAATGAAAGTTTCTGGGCATGAAGAAGAGCTGACGGTCACCTTGTTTCCTCTGCGTAGTAGTACACAATTTAGTTTGTCATCACAATCCATGCAATAATCTCCCTGCAGTTAAATTCCACTGTACGACAATGGAGTTTAAAATGCAATCTAGCTTTTTGCAGGAGTGGGAAAGGTGAGGAGGTGAGAGATCAGGGAGAAGCTCTGGTAATCCTCTTCATACTCGTGTATCTGTTGCTTCACAGGGTCTTCCGGGGGGTAAAGGGGAGCGTGGAGAGAAGGTGCGTTACAGCTATAATTGTATAATAAGTCTTCTCACTGCAGTGGATATGCATATAAGTTACATTTCATAAAAAAACTTGGTTCTCGTTTAAATCTGCTGATGTGTAACAGGGGGAACCTCAGTCTATGGCCATGATCTACCAACTGGTCACACAGGCCTGTGAGCAGCTAGTGCATAGTAAGTGGTCAGTTTAGCGAGCACTGATATCTGCATATTTAACTCGCTCATTGTAACTTTCAAACATATTTCATTCCGAGTTGTGTGTGTTTTTCAGACGAGGTGTTGAAGCTCGACATGTTCATTAACGAGATGAGTCGTAAGCCTGCTCCTATTGAGGAGCCGGTTGGGCCCCCCGGGGAACCTGGCATACCGGGGCCCAAGGGCCCACCGGGCGCCAGGGGCGCCCAGGGGCGTGTCGGCGCAAGGGGGACCTCTGGCAGAGGTGGATATCCAGGAGAACAGGGTAAGACTCCAAAACAATCCAACCAAATTCTCATTGTTTGTCAAGCAACTGTAAATAAAAGTCTGGGCATTTATAAACTATGAATTTGTCTGATTTTTAGACTCCAGTGTAATATTATTGTAAGCTTTGTCTATGCCGCTCAGACAAATCTCTGCTTTCTCTACAGGAAGAAGAGGTTTGCCAGGGGGGAAAGGTGATGCAGGGACCAATATCCAGGGGCCCACAGGGGTCAAAGGATTTGCAGGTACCTCTCTAGGAGTCATTTGTATATACCACTGTAATATAATGCATCCACCGTGACTCACCAGCACACAACCCTGTACTGATGTGTGCCTTCTGTGTGTCCGCAGGTCCTCCAGGTGAGTCCAAGCTGGGGAGCCTGGGTTCCAACGGAGACGATGGTAAACCAGGACCCGCAGGGATCGCCGGACCTCCCGGACAACAAGGCGAGGGTGGACCATCGGGTGTGTGTGACAGCAGTGGAGGCTGCCAACGGGTTCCCCAGGAAACAGGTTAGCTACCAGGAAAGGTCCACGAACTCGAATGACACACAGCCTGATAATATTAAGATACGATGATCCCGGTCCAGCAGCCTTTCACTGGTGTGTAGCAGTGGGTGGTTAAAGAGGGTTTCTATGAGGAAACTGGAATTATTCTGGAATGAAAACTGTAAAGAATTTCACGTGTTGGGTAAACTGCTCAACATCTACCTCAGACGTCTAACAGCCCTTGCTTTCCATTTTCCAGAACAAACCATTACTTTTAGATTTACTGTCTTTTTTGCTAACTAACAGGAAGACAGTAGATTTTTTTGACCACTTTTGGGCAGCGCAACAAGCTGTAAATGCACCATTGACATTGAACTTATACAGTGTTGTAATGGTAAAAGTGTGAGCAAACGGTTGCCTAATTACAAATCCAGCAGACACTGTAGAAAATGTTGCACATAAAGCCAAAACAATGAGATGCTTAAAAAGCTCTGTATTGCTGAGGGTAACTGCAAACTCAGGGGATAAATCTCTGTGGGTTCGTCACTACTCCTATATAATATGAAATCATTTATCAAAGCAGCTTTAACGTTATGGTTAAGTTAATTAGAGTGGTTAAACGCTTATTGGCATAAACCATGTGTGTTATGTGCCATTCATTTATTGCCACAACAATTTGCCAACACTACCGAGTACAGTAGTGGTCTTATACGTTGACTCTCTTTGTGTGTGCTCTCTTCACACAGAAGAAGACCCTTATTATGGCTACCAGCCCTAAAGGATATTAACAAGCAGCTAGCAACGCTACGGTGCCTGACGTCGGGTTGAAATGACTATGGTTCCTTTGGAGCTAAATGCCAGATAAGGAAGGGAGCTAAAAGAAAAGAAGAAGCACTAAAGAGGTTTGCTGCGATGAACTTGCCACTGACTGATGCGGAAGCCTCACAAGCTTCATCGTGGAAAAGGAAGCACTAGAGGAAGGATCTCTCTCGGATCCTCATGTTACCATTTTCTTTGACTTTAAAAAACAAATGACTGAGAAATGAACCAAGAATAAGTAGGAAGCTCTCTAATATAGAATAGTGTTTTAAAGAGCAGTCAGCATCATAAAGGAAAGTATTTTCTCATTCAGTCAAGTGCTGTCTTATACTCCCTATTCGCACTGAAACTTTTTATTACTATGTATATGTATTCATGCACTGTATCAATGCCAAGTAGTTTAGCCATCTGTGTTACATTTCTACATATTTCATTTGCCATTTTAACCTTAACTGCCTCGATGATACTGTGAGAATGTCCTTTGTCTTGTGTATGATCATTTGTATGTTTATTATATTCACTGAATGCAGTTATTCATTTATGATATTTTATACTGTAGATTTTTGCATTGAAAATTCATGTTTACATTTTCTGGTTTCAATGGGGTTTAGGTGATAAACAATAGTGTGTGTGTGTGTGTGTGTGTGTGTGTGTGTGTGTGTGTGTGTGTGAGATTTTTTTTTATCCTGTTAATAAAATTTCATTAATATGTGTCTAATGAAGTGTTTTTTGTTTTTTGTTTTTTTTTCTTGCAAAACTTGTCTATGCTAAGCGACAGGATACTTTAGTGTAGTGAAATTCTATTCCTGCATGACAGCAAGATTGTCTTGCTAAAGTGTCCTTAAGCAAGACACTGGCCAATCCCAACGTCCCCCCTAAAGCTTCAAACCCTGAGCCCTCAAGGTCTTACTGATGTCACCTGGTAAGTGGTTGAGTGTGAGAGACTGACAGCTTGAAATGGTGTGAATAGGAATGGGACAGCACTTTGCTGCAACATATCACGTTAACATGAAAACAACAAAAAATATGATGTGTAATTGTAGGTATTTATTTTATACTTTATACTCCCTGATTTGAACTTCTTCCAGGCTCTTTCCTCACAAGATGAGAGGTAACTTCATATAATCTATTTACTCGTTTTTGTCAAAACTGCTTCAATGACAAAGTCAAATATTTGATGAATAAATAAATAAATATCCTCTCATGTCATTTATTTATTTATTTTTTGTTCCATCTTCAACCCTTAATGTTTCTGTGTAAATTTAATAAGACAGGCTGAACACACGTGAGCCATCCTCTTTGTTTACCTTTATTTTTTTACTGCTCCCTCCCTTAGGCAAAGTCAGCATCCTATCACTTCAATAAACATGAAATCAGAGGATATTTAGTTATCAAATATTTTATTTTGTCAATAGATTATCTGAAATTACCTCTCATCTTGTGAGGAAAGAGCCTGGAAGACGTTCAAATTAGAGAGTAAAAAATATTAAATAAATATTTAAAGCCTTCAGTCTCTCCCACTCAACCACTTACCAGGTAATGTAAATCCCTGAGGGTTTAAGGTTTAAGGCTTTAGGGGGGACATTTGGATTGTGCCACTGAATCTGTCCAAGGGTTGCTGTTCTGAGACTCAACCTTACCTCCAACCTCCCTGTGGAGGCCAAGAGAAAATAAAATAGCTGGCAGGAATTAATAAAGATAATAATGTCAAAGTCCTTTGTAGGAACGGCGGCGAAGAGATAGTTGTTGCCAGTGGGGTCTATTTTGAAGAGCACAATGGAAGTTCCGGTTCCATCCCCAACGGCTTCATTATGTTAGCCTCAGTGGTACAGTTTCCGGTTTTTTAGAAATGTTTGTTTATTTTTCAAAATAAAGATAACCATGTTTAATCACTGCCCTAAAGGGTAGTTGTAATAAGCTGGTGAAAGTATCACCAAGCAATATTTTCTATAATCATTGATGCGAGGTCAGGCCGTGTCGGAATCAGTGTGAAATTTACATTGGAACGTAATGCTATTACTTGAGATGAACACACTAACGTTAGCTAATTATGCTATATGTTCTCTATGATTATTGTCTGTGATGTTTCACTATTGCTGACGTAAACAGGCTGGCTATGGCTCTTTAGACAGAAAAACATGTAATTCAGTAAAACATCCATTTTATTTACCAAACTAGTTACACTGATATCTTAATTTATTTTGAAAAACATAAACAGGATGTTGTAGAACACTTTAAATGTTACGCAGTGTGGTTATCTTGCCGTAGATACACGTCGCTATGGCAAGCCGAAAAACTTCGCACCCAAACCGGGATAGTGAGGACAAATACTCAATATTATTACCGACCTACAACGAAAGGGAAAACCTACCCTTGATAGTGTGGCTTCTGGTGAAATATTTCGGTGAAAGGTGAGTTCCGGGGAGCCAGCAAAGCTGCTCGGCTATAGCTAGCTAACGTTGCTGTAGTGGTAAGTTAGCTAATGCCTGTCAGTGATGAGCTGTCACCAAACCAGAGGGAGAAAATAACGAGGTTTATTGTCAAGTGAACTAGCTTGCTCCAGCCCACTTTTGTAGTTTTGGATTTACTTTGTGTGTGTCTGTGTGTGTTAAAGGTTTAAACATTATATAACTCAGTTGAATGTGTTGTATTTACAGCGGCTATAAGTACGAGATAATTGTCATTGACGACGGAAGCCCGGATGGGACACTGGAGGTGGCAGAGCAGTTGCAGAAAATCTATGGAGAGGATAAAATAGTGAGTTAAGAAACCCCCGCCCTACAGTGATGACGCTGGGGTTCGCGTTGCAGATACCTCCTTTGTGAGGAACCAAACAATGCATTTCTTGCAATGTTGTAAAGTATTAGAATTGATTAACATCTTCATAGAGACAACCACTAACGTATGATTTACATTGTTTTCCTATATAGCTTGTCTGTAACATTAACTGTTGGTTCTAGTAAGATAATGGTATATGGGATCTTTATGCAGACTCCTAATCTCTCTTTTCTGTGGTTCAGCTTCTACGGCCAAGAGCGAAGAAACTAGGCCTCGGTAAGTTCAAAACTGTGTTAAAAACTGTGTATTCTATGTTCTAGTAACCTTTGCCAACGACTGATGAGCTCTTCTGCTTCCTTCCAAAGGCACTGCGTACATACATGGCATGAAGCATGCTACTGGGAACTTCATCTTTATCATGGACGCAGATCTTTCCCATCATGTGAGTCGAGCTGGTTCCATTGTGTGTCTACAATAGGCCCACATGAACACATGAAGCTGATACGAGGGTCAACAAATAGTCATTATTGATTAGTCTGCCAGTTGTTGTTTTACAACAATTGGTTCATTGTTTGGTCTATAAAATGTTAGAAAAATATAGAAAGAAATCTACAATTTCCTAAAGCCCAACACGCAGTCTTCAAATTACTTGGTTTGTCCGAACAACAGTCTAAACCCTAAAAATATATCGTCATACGAGACAAAGATGCAAATCCTCACGTTGAAGCAGTTTAAAGATTGATGATTAATGACTAATCGATGGACAAAGTAGTTACCGACTAGTTTTAACGACAAATCCATTAATCATCTTATCATTTTAGCCCCAGCTGATCCTATGACTGATTCACTGAATCGCAATTTTGTTAGTATTTGAATCGGAGATGTGAGTTTACCTGCTCCATTTTCTTTATCAACACTCTCCTCTCTATCATGCCTACAATTTCAAATACTCTTTCATGTAATTTCAATATTATGTGAATCATTTTGGACGGAATATTATTTGATTGTTCTTTGACTTTTTTTCTTTTCAGCCGAAATTCATCCCAGAATTTATTGAGTAAGTGTTTTAATTTCCATTCCTTTATCCTGTGATTTTGTTATTTATTTATTTTGTACCTTACTTTGATTTGTATACACAAAATCAATTTCTGAATATATAAACAACAGCATTTAGCTACAGTGCCACAAATGACAGAGAAATTGTGTAGAAATCTTCTATTTAAAACCGTTTTGTGTTGTTTGTCAGAAAGCAGAAGGAAGGTAACTACGACCTGGTGTCTGGTACTCGTTACCAGGGGAGTGGGGGCGTATACGGCTGGGACCTTCGCAGGAAACTCATCAGGTAGCTGCACGTCACCATCAGCGCTTACCCGTCTTACGAGAGACAAGAGGCTGAGCTTTGATTTCCCTTTCCGTCTTCTGTCTCCTTCTCTCGTTCACAGTCGGGGAGCTAACTTTTTGTCTCAAGTGTTGTTGAGACCCGGTGCTTCAGACCTCACGGGCAGCTTCAGGTAAGTGGTGCTCGTGCCACTGACTTTTTCCACATGCACGGGGATGTGTTTTCTCACACACACCTGCTGTGTTGTTTTCCCCTCACTGATGTCAGGCTGTATAAGAGGGCGGTGTTGGACAGTCTGGTTGAGCGGTGCGTGTCCAAAGGTTACGTCTTTCAAATGGAGATGATCGTCCGCGCCAGACAGCTCAACTACACAGTCGGAGAAGTGAGGCCCGAATTCATTCATTCATTCGTGTTTTTATGTATTTACCTAGTACACATTAAGGTATGTAGCGATGATATTTCTTTAGATTCTCCGTTTTTCATCGGATGTGAAAAAGCATTAGAAATCAGTTTTTAAACCCACTTTCAGGTTTGTGAAACAAAAAAGGTTAATTTCACTGCTGTTTCTGCATCCAGACGACATTGGTCTTTGTCTATCTTTAAAAGCACTACACTCAGACATGTGAATTCATTATGACAATAATGAATGGACTCGAGAGACTACAATACATTTCCATGACTTAGAGGCAGATTTTTATGTCCAGACACTATGGCTGTTGGGTAATATGACCTGAAAAAGCTGTCTTGTGTCATCACATGACTTGTAGGCAGGGTTTAACATTAATTTCATGGCTCACCAGCCACGATTTTGTTGTTGGGATTTGGGGAAACTATGTTTTACCCAGACACCTTTGCTCAGCATTGTAAATGACCATAAAGCAAGCTAAGAAAAAAACCAAAAAAAAACCCCCAAAAACCTGACTTGAATGAACCTAACATATCAGGTGGGGCTAAGTGGTTCCATCACGCCATCCTAGAAAAGTTATGTTCATTGGAACGGTCGGTATCTGAGCAACTATTTTTACTAAGGTTAGTCAGACTAACTGAAATATACCTGATGCTTAAGTCGCTTCATGGAATGGCCCCAGGTCTTTTTTAAAGCCATGTCTTATGAATCACTATTCCAAGTGAAGACCTGACGTCGCCCCACTCACAGAACAACACATACTTTATGATACATCTGTGAAGCAAGGGTCCATGACTTTTCCAAAACATAAAGAACTGACCTAATGATGGTGGGGCTTAAACTGTGATGGGCTTTCAATATGATTTTTAAATATGTTTTCATAACAATAAGCGATGTAAAAACAGAGAATCTGCCCAGAAATATCATTAAGTTTTAGCTTCGCTTAACCCCTCAAGATCTAAATCGGAAGCCAGAGTTGTGATTTTTACGATGCACATTGAAGAAAACAAAACAATCCTCTCTTCTTCTTCTTCCAAACAGGTACCCATTTCCTTTGTGGATCGAGTTTATGGAGAGTCCAAACTCGGAGGGAACGAGATCGTGTCATTCGTGAAAGGACTGATCACCCTCTTCGCCACGACATGATCAGTACTCAGTTTGGACGTCCCACAGTCATATAGTGCTCCTTCCAGTCTTAAAGTCGCTGTCTTTAATACAGCAGCATTAGAATTTAAATGGAAGGGAAAAGGCTCCACATGCCTGTGGTCAGACTGTGACATGACGGCAAACGACAAGGGAGGCTTAAATATAAAGTAATTTGCTGTCAGTAGTCGTCCCCGAATACTGAAGGAACATAGTGCTTTACATTCCCATCAGCCCCTGAACAGAGCGCATAGTGTCTCATCATTCCCAGTCCAGACAGCTGAACTCTACAGAAACACGGCTGTCAGATGGGTGTATGTACACGTTATACTGCTACACCTGTGGTTGTTTGTATCAAATTAAACCGTTTGTATTGTTGGCTCAGTTTTTTTCTGTTTGTGATCTTTTTATTTTTTTTTTTTACAATGAGTCAAAACCCTAAATGTGTTATGGAGATCAACCGGCTGCCAAGATCAGAGCTGATTTCTCTGAACACGAGCAGGTTCAACTAACTCAATGCCCTCCAAAGTTTTTAACCTTCATGAGCATCCAGTCCAAACCCGTCCTGGATCATTCTGATAATGTCGAAAATAGTTGAATGCTTAAGTTCATTCCTGACCGTTGAAACAGTAGTTTGACTAAAAAAAAAACCCCTCAAAAGGTCCACTTACTAGCTTCTTCTTAGTCTATCCACCACATCGCCTCCCCTGCACATGGTGTGTGACACTCTTTGCTGAGGCAGCAGCTTTCAACAGGTACCAGCTTGTACATCGCCTCAAATACACTAATGGAAATGTCATCCAGCAGGTTGCAGCAGGATGAATATGAATTAATGGATTAAAAAAAAAAAAATTGTATAGACAATTAACATCCTACTTTACTCCATTCACCAATGAAATGTCATGTGCAAGGCTGGATTATCAAGGCCTGTTGTGTTTTGTGTCTATTTATGTTAAAGTTCATCATGGACTATGCACCTTGAGGGTATCGACTGAGGCCTGAAATTGGGTCTTCCACTTAAATGATCCTGAAGCCCTGTCTTTAAGAGGGGTCCTGTGTCAAAAGCAAGTTAAATGTTGCATATTCCTATGTTAACATGTTCAGTCAAATAACCATACAGCAAGCCTAGTGTCAGTCAGGTACTATAATAGCATTAATAAGAACCCCCAATGCACACGAAGTGGCAGATATGGAGGGGGGTCGGCACTATGTGATGAGTGAGGATGAAGGGTGTAATGGGGCAAGAATGAACCTCAGCTGATGGAAAAATGTAACCATGGGTTTAACCATTTAAATGCAGTGTCGCACTAGATGAAGGGCCGATTCACAGTACTGGTCTTGGAGCTGCCCTTCAACAGGCAACGGGCAGGAAAGTAGTCCCGGTCAGTTTGGCAGAATTGGCATTTACTAGCAGTAGTGTAGTACAGCGCCACCTACCGTTGGCCCAACCCGTTGATACCACCACAGCTGAGTGCTGAGGCATTGTGTACATCCGAGGCTCCGCAGGGGAGGGAGGGGGGGGCACCAGATGTAGCCAAATCGCGCATGCGCTCAAACCGGAGAAACCCACTCCAGAAGGACGCCCGCTGTCGGCCGGTTCCCGCCACTACTGTGTGGGGTTGTTTACCTCACAGACTCGAACACAGAAACCAGAGGCTCGCCGCAGTTTTTGAGGTACAAGGTTGTTTTTTTTTCAACTGACGTTCGCTTAATTGGCCAAATTGATTGATGGACCAATTAAGAGTTTTAATGAGCCGACCGAGTTCGCGAGGATCTCACAATGAGATTATTTATGCTAATCAAGTAGATGTCACTTCCGCCCCTTTTATTTGCGCCATTTTGGATAGGGCAGTTTCTAGGCTGGATGTGTATTGTCTGTCAGAGAGAAGAATGGGCATAACGCTGTCGGCTGCCAGGCTATCGTAGGCAGACCCAAGGCTATCCATTTGAAAGAGTGGGTCCGCCGGTAGCTGTTCCCAACAATAGGACATGCGGCCGCCCTCACCACTCAAGGGAATGGAGGTTTTAATGTTCTAATGAGGCTCAGAGGCTTTCTGTTCCCATTTGCCGACCAGAGGGAAGAGGATAGCCCTTTTCGGCGAGGGAGAGTCCGGTCTGGAGGGTCGACCGAGGGAAGATAGTTGTCACCTGAAAGGATATTACCGAGATAGCTGGGAAGACCGTGGAAGTGTCCACACATCGTCTCTCAGCCATTCCGAGGTGACACACTTCACTCAGACGGGAGCACTGGATGTGAAAGCAGGTAAACTTGTCACAACGCAGAGTTTCTCCGTTAGCCGTGGCTACCTGCGGTGATGCGATAGGTGGCCGTGGATTCACGTTACAGCGAAGGTAACTTGGCAATATAGCTAACGTTTAGGTCAGGGGGGCTTCAACGTAGCCTCTAATTGAATCACTTCTCCGGTTACGTTATACTTGCTTACGACCAGCCAGGTTAAAATGCGAGCGATTGTCCTTTGTGGTAAATTGAGGACAGACATGGCAGCATTAACATTAGTTTACGAACAGCCCGTGTTGTTGATGCGAGTTGGGCTAGCTTAGCATGCTAACTCAGCGCGGAGTGTCCCCATTCTTTGTCAGCGGCAGCAGCTCCCTGCCAAAGCCTATCGATCTGGATACTGCCAGATGTTGATCGGAGCTTAGATCCACTAACACCAACGTCACCTCGCCGCGCGATTTGGTTCGTGTCCACGGCCAATAGCTCCCACGGCAGATCGTGGAAGTTGACGGTTTTTTTCAATGCGAGAAATGCTACGAATATTGAAAGTGTAGCAACACTATTACTGTACAGCAGAGTTTAGTCCTGGGCGACACGTGATGTAATATCCACAACCACGCACAGATTGTGGCGTAGCAGTCATACGATGTTTTTGATAAATTGTAAGTCTTAAACCTGAAAAAACCCTAAACCATCAGGTGATCAGAGTTCAGACAGGTGACACCGGGGTTGTGATGCACGCGCGCCTCGTGTTTGAGGGAGGGCTGTCACTTTGGTCAGGACAGGTGTCAGATTATGTTATTATAATAATATTATTATCACGATTACTAGCATCAACCCCACACACTGGTACACAGACAGCCTCCGCACGTGTATTGCTCAAGGCTACAGTCAGGTGTTGAACGTGCTGTCACAACTAACCCCGGTGCATTTCAAGCATCCCAAACTTTTTTCTGGTATCTGTGTGAATGGATGTCACCAGGAGCTTCATTCCTCACTGAATTGTAAACGGCAGTAGTCAACCAGAACACAGGTCATCATGTCCCAGTGGAGGACTGAGTGTGGTTGAAGGTTTGTAGGCCTTTTTTCTTTTCTTTGACAACACAGGCGAAGGGGGAAACCTGTTTTCTGCCAGCAGCCCTCAGCAGAGCAGAGCAGCCTCCTAACGCCTCTCCTCCCTCACCGCTTCCTTCTTTCCCTCCCTTCCCTCCTACTCAGCCTGTCCTTTGCTTTTTTTTTTTTTTCTTCTCTCTTTCCCTGTTCTTCCTCCCACCACCCTCCCCTCCCCTGGCTATCCTTCGCCCCCTCTTCCTCTCGCCCTCTTCCATTTTCTCCCCCACCCCCACCCCCACCCCCACCTCCTTCCTTCCCTCACTCTCCCATCCCTCTCCTCTGAGCCTGTCTGTCCGACCTCCCCTGCCTCCCCATCCCACCCGCCCCTCTACTTCCGTCGCTCACTCTCTGTCCTCTCTCCTTTCCTCTCATCTCTCCCCTCGCTCACTCGCTCCCCTCCCCCTCTCTCTCCCTCCCCTCTCTCTCTCCCTCCCCTCTACTCTCTCTCCTCTCTCTCTTCTCTCTCTCCCTCTACTCTCTCCCCCCCTCTCTCCCTCCCCTCTCTCCCTCTCCTCTACTCTCTCTCCCCCTCTCTCCCTCTCCTCTCTCTCTCTACTCTCTCTCCTCTCTCTCTACTCTCTCTCCTCTCTCTCTACTCTCTCTCCCTCTACTCTCTCCTCTACTCTCTCTCTCTCTACTCTCTCTCCCCCCTCTCTCCCTCTCCTCTACTCTCTCTCCCCCTCTCTCTCCCTTCCTCCTCTCTCTCTCCCTCCCCCCTCTCTCTCCCTCCCCTCTCCCTCCCCTTCCTCCCAGCTCCCTCATCCTATCTCGCACTCCCCTCCCCCTTCACTGATCTCTCTCGCTCCTTCTGTCCCTCCCCTTCCTCCCTTCCAACATCTCTCCCTCCATCCCTCCCCCTCCACTGCAGACATATTGTAGAGGCTGCTGCTGACTCAATAGGAGGCGCCATTCTGTGATGGTATTGCGAGGCAGGGAGAGAGAAAAGGGGGCAGGCAGGGAGTGTAGGGAGGCTTACATAATGGAGCTCCTCTCTAGCGCCATCTGCAAGTAATGGGAGGAAGCAGGAAAGGGAGACAGGGAGGGGAAGTGGTCATGGGTATGTGTCTCTTTCACTCACTCTAGCACTTGCACACTTCTGAATGACAGACAGACAGCAGGCAGGCAAGACAGTGAGACGAACAGGCAGTGATGTCTCCGGTTCTCTGGGCTCCTCACTAGGCCAACAGTTGGTGGAACCACACACGCTCAGTTCCCCGTCTCCGTTTGGTGTTGTCTAAAAGGGAAATAAGCTGAGTTGTTAGCAGGAATTGTTTGGGACTGTGCTGTTTGTTGTCCCTGAGCTGCCTTTCATGTCATCACGCATCGGTGACCTTTGACCCCCACTACATGAAGCTCTGACTTGAATGGAAACTTAAAGAGACAGCCACTTTGGACAGTGAGTCAAACAGCCTGTGTTATTTCCTCTGGCAAAAGGTGCCTTTACTCCTGCTGAACTAAATGGTGGTGATAATAACTCTATGAATAGGTGGAGGGTGGTTTGTATGCGACCAAGTGGGTCCGTCTGTCAATGAGCAACCTTTCCTTCTACTACACACAGCTAAGTGAGGTTTGGCCAGGTCAAACTCTGAATAGGCTGTCACAAAAAAAGTATTAGTTTAAGTACGGACAATGCAACATCTAAACTGTAGTTATCGCAAATAAACCATTGAGCACTGGCTTTTGTCCTTTGAAACAAACGGAAGTTGTTTAATGTTTGAATGTTAAGTTTCAGTATTTCTCACCAAAACAGATTGTGTATCCTTGGGTTTCAACAAACGTATTGAGTGCATTTCCTTTCTTAAACATTTGTAAAGCTGTTTTTGTTTCTTCTTCTTTTTTCATAATTTAAATCCTGCATTGTTTTCATCCATGTTTACAGCTAGCGGTCTCCTTCTGCCCTGCGTTTGCTGGCGCATTGCTGTGTTTTGGTAGGAATGTGTTGCGGCCAGATGGATACCTCTGGTTCCATGTGGAAGTGTCTTAAACTTGCATTCTCTCTACTGACCATCAGGGGGCGACTGCTCTGGTTGTATAGAAGTCTATGAGAAAATGACTCTACTCTCTTGATTCATTACCTCAGTAAACATGAGTTTATGGTCTCAATCTCTAGTTTCAAGTCTTCTTCAATACAGCATGATGTTCATTTGGTGAATGATGGTCCATTTAGAGTCAAATAGACCGTGAAGCATAATATGGTTTATGGTCTTATATACAGTTACATGGAAAGCAATCTCTGAACCCTCCGGCTATGATGATGATGATGATTTAGCTTTTTATTGGTTTAAAGTTATTGTAAACTGTCTACTTGTGAAACAATCCGGTCAAACTCGTCGCCTCTCAACTCCAACTCCAGTCTGGCATCTGAAGTTGCTAATCGGACTGTAAACAACGAGCAGCGCACGAGATAGGAAGTCTTGACCCGGATATCTGCTGGATACACCGGAACCCCAGAAATATAGCCCCCGGCCCCCAGAGGCTTACCGTCGTTTGACCGATAGCCGACTGGTTCCAAGGTTGCCCGCATGCATGCCTTGTGCCGCTGTGGATTAAATGTTTGCCACTGTGATAACTTTACAGAGTTGTTAAATCCTGTCTGAGTATCACAAACCAAACTGGACCTCCTGGAACGTTCTTCATAGTCTCATCGATACCTTAGGCAACACGCCCCCACCCAGGCGGCCCCCTGCGCTAAAACAGCTCTGAATACCCCTTTAAGAGGGTGCACTTTGCATTGATAATCTATTGGGGAGCGACTTCATCTCTTTTAGTCACATGGCTCCAGATGTGACTAGTCGCCACATCTGAACAGGGCTCAACAGTAACTTTTAAAAGTTTCCCCGCTGGCAACCAGGCATCAGCTTTGGGTCGGCGAAACTGAAAATATGCTTTCCATTTTTGCGTCGCCTCATATTTTGAGTAATTTAGATACTAAGCAGCTTAATAATAGAAAAGTAACAAAAGAAAAAATGCGTTATTTCAGTAACGAACCAAAATTCTTTGTAATTTGTGTTTTATCTGATACTTGTGTAATCAGTTAACGTGTTCACCCTCAACTCCTGGTATAGCTGTAGAGCAGTGTATCTGTGTTTCTCACAGATGAATCCAGCCAGTCACTGGTTGCTTATTCATCCACTCTCTCCCTTTCAAATTGAGTTTTCTTTTTTTTTTTTTTCTTTTTTTTGTGCTGATTCCCACCACAGATCCATTGGCCCTTCAGTCTTGGATTGTGGGTTGAAACGGACAACTATGTCTAAATGCCAAAAAGCCATTACGTCAAATGTGTATTTCATATCTGAAAGCTGGTGTTATCAAGTTAAAGGTCCTTTTCAGCAAAACTGTCTATTCCCTGACTTGCAGTTCAGCTGACAGGCATCCGTTGTAATTGTACCCTCCACCTGTTGATAACATGCTGCTGCATGTGTCTTTTCTATCCAGGTGGGCAGAATGTTCCAGCTCCCCGTCAATAACCTGAGCAGTCTGCGGAAAGCGAGGAAAAATGTCAAGAGGGTCCTGGGAGACATCGGCTTGGAGTTCTGTAGAGACCACCTAGAGGTGAGCGTGTTTTCATGACGACGGTCGCGACGGCCCATTCTACGGTTCCTTTGTGGTCATGGCTTTGCCTTAAGAACGATACACTGTACGCATTCCTCTGCCTTTGATTATCATCAAATTCATATTGCCCACCATCGTCACCTTCATCTCCAGCTGAGGGTTGAGAATGGTTCTTGTTTGGATATTTGTAGCATTGGTGTACCTGTGGAAAATTTGTTTTGGTTTAATAATAAGGTCAGTTTTGGATTGAGATTGCTCTTCCATTTGGCTCAGTGTGGGACGCGTAAATCGTGTGCCTGACAGCGCTGCGTAAATGTAGAGAATGTACGGTGATAGGAATCTATGACCTGGACTCATGTAATAAAACGAATAGGCCTTCACATTAATCTTACTACACACTCATCGACATCCTGTCCTCATTCGATCTCACTTAATGTAGGAGAAATAAACTCTTCAGGCTTAAAAGCAGAAACCAAAGACTTTACATAAATCAGCATCCGGGCCAAGGCACTGACATGAAGCATTCTACAGACAGGGTGGGGTTAGATGAGGTCTCCGTCACAGTTCCCAGTGTTTGACAGGTTTGGTTAGGAATGTCATTCTTTTACACATGAGGACTATGAGCCAGAACCTGTATCCACGCAGTAAGATTATAGAAACCATAAGTAAAAAATATTGACTTATTTTCCAGCCTTAACATAAAGTAAATGTGTGTCCCAAAGGACAAAAGAAAGCTGGGAACAGAGCACAATTTAGAATTTTTTTTTTAAATACATTTTGAAACGCATACGTTTCCTTTCTGATGTGCCTTTTTTTTAATTTAAATTATTTAAATATTCCCTTTTTATTGAGAGGGATAAGCAAATATTTTATCATCTCATAATTCGTCTTATGTAAACATGGGAAATAACTCGATGATTAAAGCTGAAAAATATAAAGATGAGGTTTCACAATACTATTCACGTCCATCTATATGTCAATATTCCTCTCCATTTTTTCCCCTTTTTACATGTATAATCACCGATACATGTACAGTATACACCCACGTGTGTACCTACACGTATACATATACATACACAGCTGTACATACATACCCATATCCTGCCACACATTTTCAAACAGGTTTTTAAATGATCTAAAGAAACATAAACAAGAATATAGTATAGTATAGTATACCTGTTATACAAAATATTGTAATATCTTACCATCCATTTTTTCATTCCGGGACAAGGAGTTTGTTGCGATTGTGTCTCCGTTTCATCAAGTACTAATCTTAATTTCTTTTTTGTTTAGGACTATAAGGACTATATTCCTCCAGAGGTGTACATAAAGCACACTACCTGGGACGATGTGTGCATGTGGGAACCATCGCATACCAAAGTCCAGGTGTGTGACACACTCAAACTAAGTGTCCTCTGTTTTTTGCAACGCTGATATCTGAATCGACTGTGTTTTCAAACAGAAAATGTATAAAGGTAGTAATTTCTAATTCTCTCAGACAAAGAACTTGTTAAGTTAAGCTTTTTGTCTTCTCACCTCTGTGTCTCCAGGACTACAGATCGAAGCCCTTCTGCTGCACTGGCTGCCTCTTTTCCTCCAAGTACTTCTCTGCGTACAAGAGCCATTTCCGCAACGTCCACAGCGAGGACTTTGAGAACAACATTCTGCTCAACTGCCCCTACTGCACTTACAATGGCAACAAAAAGACTCTGGAAACGCACATCAAACTGTTCCACATGCCCAACAGCACCGTGCGGCAGGGCCCCGGCGGAATGGTGGCGGGAGCCGGCGGGCTCATGATGAAGGACGGGCTGCTGAAAAGGACCGGGGACAGCGTGGAACAGGCGGTGTACTACTGCAAGAAGTGCACCTACAGGGACCCTTTGTACAATGTGGTGCGAAAGCACATCTACCGGGAACACTTCCAGCAAGTGGCCCAGCCCTATATTGTGAAACCAGGGGAGAAGACTCAGAATGGTGGCTCAGCAGGAGCCACAGAGAGCAATAACACAAACAATGTTAACAGTAACCAGATTCACTGCAAGAAGTGTCTGTTTGTCCCAAGGACCTACGAGGCACTGGTCCAACACGTCATAGAGGACCACGAGAGGATTGGCTACCAGGTGACCGCCATGATCGGACACACCAGCGTAATAGTCCCCCGTCCCAAACCTATCATCATGATCCCCCCCAAAACCCAGGGGGACAAGACCATCATCGGGATGGGCCCAAAAGGTGCGGTAATGGCCACGACCAGGTCTCCCGGCTCACAGCAGCTGGGTCGGGTCATTGTCTCCTCAAAGACGGGCTTCAACGCTCAAAGTTTCCTCTCCGGGATGAAACACGACGGAATACGGTTAAAGGCCGGCACCACCCAGTCGTTCTCCATTGGCGGCCAGCAGGTGAGGGTTACTTTACCAGGAAACGCGCAGGTTTCTGTACCCCAGCAGTCACATGCAGCAAAGCAGCTTCTTTCAGGCAGCGGCCTGCGGACTCAAGTCGTGGTCAACGCCGCCTCTTCACTCAAATCTAACTCTCTGGGCTCGCGCGTCCAGGCGGCCGCGACCACCGTCGCCTCCGTCACGGCCAAGAAAGGTGGCTCCTCAGTCCTCGGCTCATCCTACACCCAGAAGTGGAAGATCTGCACCATCTGCAACGAGCTCTTCCCAGAGAACGTGTACAGCGCCCACTTTGAGAAGGAGCACAAAGCGGAGAAGGTGCCCGCAGTCGCCAACTACATCATGAAGATCCACAACTTCACCAGCAAGTGTCTCTACTGCAACCGCTATCTCCCCAGCGACACGCTGCTAAACCACATGCTGATCCACGGCCTCTCTTGCCCACACTGCCGTGCCACCTTCAACGACGTCGAGAAGATGGTGACCCACATGCGGCAGTCTCACCCGGATGAGAGCGTCGGCCCGCGCATGGATTCCCCCTTGACCTTCGACCTCACGCTGCAGCAGGGCAATCCCAAGAATGTTCAGTTGATCGTCACAACGTACAACATGAGAGATGCGCCGGAGGAGTCGGTGGCATTTCACGCTCAGAACAACAACGCATCCCTGTCAGCAGCCTTGACTGCCTCCCTAATATCAGGCAAGAGGCTGGTGCCGCAGCATCCGCCTAAAACGCCCTCGGGGTCTGCTGACGGTGCACCAGCCAAGAGCGCTCCACAGATGACGTTGCCCTACAAGAAGGACGTGGGCAAGACACTGTGTCCTCTTTGCTTTTCTATCCTCAAGGGCCCAATCTCGGACTCACTGGCCCACCACCTGAGAGAGAGGCACCAGGTGATCCAGACAGTCCACCCTGTAGAAAAGAAACTGACCTACAAGTGTATTCACTGCTTGGGGGTTTACACGAGTAACATGACGGCCTCCACCATCACCCTACACTTGGTGCACTGTCGAGGTGTGGGGAAATCCCAAAACGGGCAGGACAGCCGGGTGGCCAATTCTTCTCGGGTCGGCCAAGCCCAGAGCAGCACTCTGAAACGGGCCAGCTTTGATAGCTCTGACACTAGTGCGCCGAAACGAAGGAGGCCGCCCGGGGAAAGGGCCCACCCGCGTGACATCAACGGTCCATCGGCGTTTGTAGAAAATCCCGACGAGCCTGTAGTTCTGGCTCTTGACCCCAAAGGACACGAGAACGAGTCGTACGAGTCCAGGAAGGCATTTCTAACGCAGTATTTCAATCAGGCACCATACCCCACTCGACGGGAGGTGGAGAAGCTGGCCGCCAGTCTGTGGCTGTGGAAGTCGGACATCTCCAGCCACTTTGGCAACAAAAGGAGGAAATGCGTGCAGGACTGCGAAACCCAGAACGCCAGCGTGTTGCTTGGGTTCAGTATGCACGAGCTCAGCAAAGTGAGTCACGAGCTGGCGTTCGTCCAGGATGGCTCGTACGAGGCCGGACACAACAAGAGGCGGACGTCCAGCACGCACATAGGGGTGTCGGAGCAGGCGCTCCGGAAACACAGGGAGCTCGTGGCCGCCAATGGTGGCGTGGCGCCGCCACACAGGGGAAAGCCAACGGGGACTGTAGTCGGTACAAAAGCACCGCCATCCGTCCCCAAACCCAACGGTGCCAGCAGAGACCAAACCAAGACAATCAACAGCACCCTACCACAAAAAATGCCTCTAGACCTTTCAGAGCCCATCGCCATTGACTCTGACAGTGATGAGGAAGAGCAGCAGAAGGATAATGAGGAGGGAGAGGTACAGCTCCATGGCAACCAACTGCTTACTGGAGCTAAGGAGAGAATGGAGGTGGTGACAGAGGCTAAGAGCGCTTCAAATCTAGAGGATACGTCGGATGAAGATGATGACGACGAAGATGATGATGACGATGACGACGACGACGACGACGAAGAGGCACATGTGGAGAATGGCTTCGGGCCCGCAGAGGGCGCAGGAAGGCCGGCTGCTAAAGAAAGAGACGCTCATCCCATCATTATTCCCAAGTTTGTACCGTCATCCGCAAGAAGCAGGAGAGACGGGGCCCAGCTGGGCAAACAGCAGGTCTGACTGATAAAAAAAAAACCAAAAGACTCAAACAGTCAGCGAGACACTTTAGATTTGATCCACCCCAACAAATCTGCCTCGCCTGAACTGACGGACACGGCCCAGTTACATTGGGTATCTGCGAAGGACGGAGCGACGAGGAGAGAACTCAAAACAAGCCATCCAGTGACTTTTAAAGGCAGGACTCAACGAGCAGCTAGGATCCATGTAAAGATTTGTGATCAAAGTTTTAACGTTTCCTCCCCCGTGTGGGAGGGGAGGTGCAAAGACAACAGAGAAGTCACACCAAACAAATGGAATTTAGTTATTTTTCTTTCTTTCTTTTGCCTTCTCTATACTTTATTACATGAGATAAGGAGTTATTAATGTTGATTTAGCCACTGAACTTGTAAATGTGGCTTAAAATATTGAGTTGTCGTGAGGTAAAGCTTTTAAGCTGACCAGATAATGCAGCATTTTTTTTTCCATGTAGTTATATCCGAGATGGGTAGTGTAAATTTGTACAGTCTTTTAGACATGTTTGGACAGACGTTGCCGTACATGTACCCTTAAATATTTGCTATTACCTGTATGTAAGGTAGCCTCATATGTTCTACATCGTTATGCTTAACCATAGTTGTCGCTTTGGTGGCTGGTATTTTCTCGTACGTTTAAGTTTATTTTTTAACGAAAACCTAGTTTGTTTGTTTTGTTTTTTTGCAAAATAATATATCTATATATAAATGAAATAACATAATTGATTTGTTTTTGCTTTGAACTAGATTTTATTTTTTTAGTTTCCTTTTGTTTATGTGATTTCTGTTCTGAGAGTCGTGGTGCCGAGCTGTTCTTCTTCTCTTACAGTTTAAAAGCAGCCTCTCATGAACCCTTTGCAGCCTTGTGCTCTTTAGCCTTTACTCTACTTGCTTTCTGTTGATGATGTTTCTTTGCGCCCTCAAGACCGAACAGTAACCACCACACTGACATCCGCAAAAGTGAAAGCTAATTTTTTTTTCTTTTTTTCCAAAAAAAGAGAGTTCAATTTGTGTTCTTTGAATTGTGTGTATTTGTTTTATGTTTTCATTTTCCACCTTAGCATTTATGAACAATAAAGTGCTGTAATTGTGCTTCTCACGGAACTAATGGCCACGCCAGTTTCTTCGTTCAAAGTAAGGAACAGCAGTGAAAATGTGTCCCGATTTTTTTTTTTTTTTTAAATTTCTTTTAGATAATGAGTATTGTAAATCTGCAGTTGTCTAAACCTGCTTTTGCAAAGTGTTCGTACTAGTTAACTAGTCAACTAGTCGTGGTTGAAAAGAGGCTGTACTCGTCAGCGGAGGCTGAAGGTTGTATGACTGATGGACAAATATTCTCTGTGGTGCTTTGGTGGCTGGGTTTCTTCAGCGCTTCAGGCCTCTGAACGTCCAGCCCACACCCACACTAAGGCCACAACCCGTGACGAAGGACCACAAGGAGGTATTGCTTCATTTTTAAGGGACAAAGCCAAGAAGGTTTTAGAGGTTTTGCTGTCCTAAAGACCAACCAAATGTTGCTCAATGTCGAAACTAATTGCTCAACTAGAAAAACTCTGCAAACCTTGTGGGGTTGTTTTGCTTCTTTTTTTGTTTTTGCATTGAATAGGCAGTGATGTACGGAGGGAGGGATCATTCAACAGTGTACACCAATGGGACATCAGGGATACACTGACGGTTCTGCTCAATACTACTGTCAGCAGGTCAAGACTGGCAACAAAGCCTATTAGTACACAATGACAATGATCAGCTTCACCAAAGCAACGCAAAATCCTTTTAAAAAAAAAAAAAAAAAAACAATTTTTAAAGTATGTGTATACACTGAGCAAAGAGGGTGAATAAACAAGTTCCAGTGTGATTTTAAAGAGCCATATTGTGTTTTTCTCAAATCATTTTTTGTCTCCAGGCTTGATAATGAGCTCAAGGACAATAGATATTAAATGGTTACATTGCCACAAGAGATGCTTGGAATTTAAGGTTTTTGCAGGTTAGGCTTTGATGACGGTCTACAAGTGACACAGTGGGATGAGATTCTCATTTGTTGTGCTAAAAAGAAGAGCAATCTCCTGCTATGAAAATGAACTTTTCCCCCAATTTAATTGAATGCAACGGTGACAATTAGCCAATTGTGAATTTAATTTACCACTCGGGTCTGATGCATCTTTACACATCAATATCAATCGGCACAGCTTAATGACATTTTACATTGCTTTGTCATTGTTAGAACATAGTGGGGGGGTAACAACTAGAGTGGGTTTTTATCTCCAGTCCTGAGCATTTCTAAAACACATTGTCCTTCCATCCCAACAAGGATGCTGATGTTGATCCATCACAGTAAAGGTATAAAGACTTGTTAGGCAGGAGTCTTTGGGTAGCCAAAAATAATTCCAGTAATATCCAGCATTGCTTGGTATCCAGGATTAAGTTGCCCACCAGTTTAGCCTCGCAAGATCAGAGCGGTGTTCAGGTGTAACGGAGAAAACAGGAGTTTACCGGCATTGACTGCAGGTGATTGAAAAAGATTCTACACTGATGGTGAGGTTTTGAACTGTGCCGTCCTCAAAGTGGAACCCCATTCACGGTATATACCACTGGTGCCCAGTGTCCATAACCAGTTGGTTGCCTGCGACGAGCTACACATTTGAAGTAAAGCTCGTTTGAACGTCCCTTACTTCTGGGTGCGCATAGAGGCGTTTCAAGTAAACATGAAACAGAATGGATGATGTGTTTGTCAGAGAGCTACAATATGTGTTCTGGTTTCACAGCTACAGCAAAAATGGAGCCTCTGTGCATGTTACCAAAGATACCATGTTGAAAAGCCTTGGTTGGAGATGGAACGCTACATTATTAACCCTTTGCCGAGGTTCACCGATGAATGGCACCTTCCCAGAATAGGGATCAATCAGGCCGGACTGAGTTTCATCTTGTGAGTCACACGGTCCTCCCAACGCAGGTGAACTGAGCGAGGTCAGACGCGTACTTTGGCTTTATATATTTTAACCTCTTGAGTGTTTAATTAAATTGCCGCCCTGGGATGAGGAATCTAAAATGGAGGGAAATTACCCCAGTGCAAGAGGGAGAGGGAGGCAAGACTCTCCTTGGCTGGCTAGTCAGTGTTGCTATGCTGTTGTAAGGAGCGAGAGTGGGAGGGAGGGAAGGAGTGGTGGGGGAGGCTGAAGGAGAGGGAGGGAGAGAGAGAGGCCTGGCAGACTGTGGGGGAGGCGGAGGCCTCATCTGCAGTGCTGTGTGCAGAAGGAGCGCTTAACAGCCTTTCAAAGGGGGAAGGGGAGGGAGGTGAAAAGGAAGGGGTGGGGAAAGGAGCTGGGGGGAGGGAAGGCGAGGAAAAGGAGTCAGAGAGGGATGGGAGAGCGAGAGACAGGAGGGTAAGCAAAGAGGAGAAGAGAGAAGAAAGGGGGAGGAGGGGGCAGGGGCAGACCAAGGTGGGGGGGGGGGGGGGGGGGGAGAGGGAGAGAAGGGGGGGGAGGGGGTGGGGAGAGGAGAGGGGGGCGGGGAGGGGAGGTGATGGTGGTGTAGAGACGGGCGCCCCCTGTAGCCGGAGGAGAGACAGAGAGGCCCTGATGTGTGTGTGTGTGCGCGTGTGAATGTGTGTGTGTGTGTGTGTGTGTGCGCTGTCAGACACAAAGGCTGCAGAGACAGAACAGGCCTACTTGCTCTTAACAGTGGGCTGATTGGTTGAATTGGGCACAGGTCAGTTTAGCATTCTCCCCCACCTGACCTGCAGCCCGCATCCACCTGAGCTGCGATCACATGATGATCAGGACAAGAGAGAGAGAGAGAGAGAGAGAGAGAGAGAGAGAGAGAGAGAGAGCGGGTGAGAGGGGACACATAGAGCGGGTCGTGCGCAGGTTGCAATGGAATAACGGCTGCGGTGGAGTCTCTGGTGACGCCCCCGTTGGAAACTGGCAGGAACCGCCATGAGACTCCCTTCAGCTAAAGAGGGTGGGGGGGTAAATAATAATGAAAACAAATCTGTCCAAGTGTGTGCGAGTGGAAGTGGCGCTCGTGATGTCTTGGCTACAAAATTTCATCGTGTCCTCCTCATCCTCTGAATATTGCATGTCGCTGGAGGTCATCTAGATCAGGGTGCCACACAAACTGGGACAATGACACCAGAACAGAGACAGAGGAGGAGAGAGGATGGTGAGGTGGGGGAGGCTAAAGAAAGGCCTTGCAGACTGCGGGGGAGACAAGAGGTCTCTTCTGCAGTGCTGGGTGATGGGGAAGGGGTGTGCAGCAGAGGAGGAGGGTGGAAAAGGGTGGACTGGAGAGAGTGAGCGAGAGAGAAGGGGGGGCAACAGTGAGAGAGAGATGGTTGCACACCTATCCATCCCACTGCTAGCGCCTCCTGCAGCTCAAATGGCCTCGCTACACGCACACGCTTTGCACAGCGCAAAAATGATTCATGGAGAAAAGAAATATGATGAGATTGAGGGATTCAGCAGGCAGAGGAGAGCGAGGTAATGAAAGGACCAGAGCGGAAAAGAGAAAAGAGGGGCGAGACCTGTGGCTAAGTGTTAAAAGAGGGAAGCGACGGCGGTGAGACCGAAAAGATGAGAATATGTGTGAGGGGAGATGGCACAGGAATAAGGAGGAGACCTAGAGGAGATCACAAGGAGGGGGGAAGGGGGCGGGTGAAGAGAAATCAGTCTTCTGACCGCCATTTTGAGGGACATATATTGTGGCACTATCCAATCTTGACAGTACACGGACAAGGTCAGGGTCGAGGGTCAGTACAGAGAAGAACTGTGTAACGTGTAACTTTGACTAAAGTCATGAAAAATGTCAATATTTTATCAAGCTCTGGTCAGTCGGTTCAAACCTAGAACGCCTCCCACCGTTCCGCCGCCCTTCCACTCTACTTTTGGCCTTTGACCCCTGACAATGAGGCTGTGGCTAATTGTGGCCAACCTGACCCTCCAGATGGTTCGTTACGCAGAGAAGCCGTCATTGAAAGCTGTTTGGAAAAGGGCAGGTACTTTAAAAATAAAAATACTTGGCAGGTGATTGGATGAACGATCTGTCAATCAGATAAGAGAAAAGGCCTTCAGTGTCTTCCTTCTCTAACCTCTTCAGGAGCTGCCATTGTCTCTCATTATCTCTCTGCGTCCTCTCTTACACACCTAAGCCACGCCCCTAGCTGCCAGCAGCTCTTAACAGGACGGCGATTGGTCCGCGCACCGGCTCACCGGACACAAATGCAATTATTTGAAGGCCGACAGGATGGATTTTGGTGCGATAAGCGATTTTGCAATTCTCGCGTGATCTCGTGACATCGCGATAATGTGCTGCTGTGCCAGATTAAACTTCTCCACGGGTTAGGGGCATAGTGTGGTCAAGGACATTTAGAGGGCAAAAGTATGAGTCAAGGTCAAAGAAATGAGTATATCACTTCTTCTTTTTTTTTAATATATTTTGACATTTGGGGAAATGTGTTTATTCTCTTACTTGACAAACTTACACTGGGAGAAGGCTTTGCTGGCGCTGATGGCCCACCACTGCTCTGCAATAGTTTGTGCACTAAAGGTAGAAGGAGGGAAGGGACCGAATGAGGGTGTGTGTGTGTGTGTGTGTGTGTGTGTGTGTGTGTGCGTGTGTGTGTTTGTTTGGGAGGCTAATACTTCCATGGAAAGGACGAGGCAGCTCCTGGCACCCCTCGTAGGCGTAAAGAGGACGTCTGCTGCATCACACTGACCATGGAGGGAGGTCAGACACGTTATCTATAGAACTATGCACAGAGCAGGTGGGGGGGGAGACCAAAAGAAAAGGGGAGTGAGGAGGAGTGTGGTAAACGACAACAAGTACTTGTATGTCTGATGAAAATGTTTTTCAGCTAATTGTAAAGACACGATACAAAAAAAATCGATACAGTCTATATGTGTTTAAAAATAATTCAGAACAAAAGAAAAGTAGCATAGGTCAGAGGTCAAGGTTTCATAAGACAGCGGCTCTAGCGCAGAGTCTCGTTTAAGAACACTGCAGGTAGACACATGGTCTTGCTGCTATGACAATATATTTTTGTTTCTCTGCCCTTGGAGATGTTTTGGCTCTTTCAGTTTGGTCAGTGGGAGTTCTGCATCACAACCTCAAACTCATGAACAGCCTCTACCTTGTGAGTTTTATACATTCAGTGATTTAGAATCAAAAAGTCTGCAAAGCACAAACTGAATTGCTACAGAATAATGTAAATATGAATAAAATAAATAAACGTGATTGTTTTATGAAAGCACTGGCTGTTTGGGGCAGAAAACAACCAGCCCAAAACAATCTAATTCAGGATTAAAAAACAAAAACAAAATGACACAGATGTCCTCTCGAAAGTGTTTGGTGTATTGCAGCGAGTGAATAGTTCACACATGTTGGTGGTGGATTTAAAATAAATCGCAATAAGAAGTACAAATTAATATCAGTTTGCTCTTCTTTAAAATTATTTTTAAAAGGAAGAACGCATCCTCGTTCACTTCATCACACTGATGTTGTTGCTGCTGGACACCAGTATGGGAACCACTGGTGCTACACTGGTCACACTAACCAGTCAAGTTCTGGTGGCTAATGTTAGCCAACATTAGACAGATGCTGTGTAACTGACATTTACACTGCTATCATCAATATCAAATACCATCTATGGATCACATGACTTGTATGTAAAAGGGGTCTCTCGTAGTGATGAACCAACAGGTGCATGGCAGTAACTAGTTATGAAGGGCACACACACACACACACACACTTGTGTCAAGACAATCTGTGGAAATTAAGGCAAAGTTCAGCGTGTGCCATTATATTGTGTCTTATTAACACATGTAGCCCAAATGTTCAGCAAAGGTGATGTTGTCTTACTGAGGAAGGATTAAGAATTCAGAGAATCATGTGACCCTAAAAACCACGCTCTCTGTGCTCTTCCTACGGGGGAACTCTTAACCCTCTCCAATAATCTTCCTGAGTCCTAAATGGATATTGTTAAATATGTATGATTTGGCTTCCTAATAATATGACATAGATGGCCTTTCATTGTCCCAAACCAAAAAAAGGTCACTATAATAGCCATGCAGCTCTCTTCACGAGGCTGTGCACTCCAGGCGGAATACTTTCAGTTTTTTGTTTTAAAAATGAAAATCTCCTCCACTGATGTTGGACACAAAAGAACAGAGTAGAAGAGAATACCTTCTGATGTTTATTGATGTACGTGGCAAATAGGTGCACTGGTTCTATCATAATAATAATAAATATTATTGTTATTATTCCGTGGGATTTATTTTCCATCTTATTTTCCCTGTTTTTATGTTCATTGTATTTTATGTATTATTTCTCTTATTTGAATGCACTTTGTGTTGCATTTCTTGTATGAAAGGTTCTATTATGCGTTCAGATGTAGTTTTGCTGTGATATTAGTAAAATACCCTTCTGATTGACCTTCATATGTAAATATCTCCTCCTTACCTGTGTTCATAATATGTGTACAAATCCAGACCAATATGCTTACATCCTCACAGTGTTATACAGATGTTGGGGACGGCGTTGGGCAAAAAAGCTTTGAAAAGTGCCTCTGGGAAAAAAACATTTTAATCACGACGAGACCTGTACCTCGTTGAATGACTGAAGAAGGAAATGAAAACATGTCTGGTGGGCCAACAGGGTAGAAATAGACCTTTTTCAATTTTCAAAATTAAATTCACCGAGCTGTCTACCGAACAAGATTATAGATTGTTTTATAAGGGAATGAAGAGAAAATAAGTACAGAGACACAACATCGACCATGAGGCCTTTTTTCATTGCAACACACACAAAGCTCTAGTTCTGAAGGCTGAACTTGCGCTCTGCTGCCACACTGGAGACTGGACTTACCAGACTCTCTGAATGTGGGACTTCCCGATACTGCAAGCGCTCGCTTCAACGGGCAAAACCTTCTGCACCGGCACCATCGGTTACCCGTACTCACAGACACTCCAAGGCCTCCAGTCCTTCAAAATGACGGACGGCCGTCAGATTTTTCCGTCTTTGTTGAGAAAATTCCGTCGATGATGGAAAATATTTGGTTAACACAACCTCTGATTTATATATAATGCAGTTTGCTGGTAAATTAGCCGTGGACAGACTCAGAGGTGCATACTTACTCACACACACAAGACCAGTCGCATGATCCTCCAGGCAGAGAAAATAACAATAACAAAGGCATAAGTAAGGAGATGAACTGTCTCAAGAGGTGTCTGACCAATCCTAATTCTATCTGGAGCTTAATGCCATCACACATTTTCAACTACATTGGTAGTTTAAGCTTTTTGGCAGGTAAATGACCTGCTCACTATGTTCTCAACACGCTCTGTTAGCTTTGAGGATGTGCAATGTTCCTGTTTTCATTCCACTGTGGAACAATGCTAATGTCACAGTTCATAATAAGTGAAACATATATAAAGGCTCAGGAGGGAGAGAGGGTCGTCCTCTTATCACAAGGTTCCAGCTCCTCCTGTCTGCATGCTGAAGTGTCCTTGAGCAACACATGGAACCCAAAGTTGCTCCAGATGGTCCGGCCAGCGCCTTGCATGTCAGCTCTGCCTCCATGTGAGTGTGAATGAGTGAATGAGAGGCAAATAGTAAGGTTGAAAAGTGCTCTATAAATGCAGCAGTTCTTATAGCATCAAAAATGTATCCATCACATATTTTTGTAATGTTATGGTTCAAGTTCTTAATATCCACCTAACATTTGTTTCTGTGCCTGATCATGCCACACAACCAGGTTTGAAATCAGATGCACGACACGGAGACAAGCATGTTACGTAAAAGTTCACGTTGACTCGTGGTCAAAAACAGGCAAAACTCAAAACCAGATAGCAACAGAAGGCTGGAAAGTTATGGCATGAGCACAACAGACAATCTGGCGGAGGAATGAGTGAAAAGGACTGCAGAACTGACGAGGGAGTGGCTGGATGTGAGATGACAGGAGAGTTCATGTGTGGCAGGGAAAACAGAGCCGACAGGAGCATGAATGGGTATGGAGATGGCTGGAGTGTCGTCCCATTAGTCTAATGTTACTGGCCCTGACATTACGTTTGGGAACAGCTGCCAGTACTAGTAGATTATGATAACATTGCCAGCTTAACCATCTATTTATTCACTTACATTTGAGTGGCTTCTATAAATCTGATTCATTTTACAGTATGAGATACATTTTTAAAATGGTATTTAGAGAGAGAGAGAGAGAGAAAACTGAACAGATTTTTATGGATACAGGTGCTTTATGATGACCACTGACGGCAGGGCATAGCTCTAACATCTTTTGGTGTATCACTGTACTGATGGGTTTATTGCTTTATAGCTTTATTGTATACCTATATAAGTGTGTGCATTTACACTGCTGGGCAGGTAGCCAGCAGCAGCAGGCCTATATGGCTTTTGGCCAGAAGATGTCACTATGCAATAAGATACAAGTTGCATCCATAACATTTACTACCACATAAATGTTGTATCTGTATTCGACATAACGATTGTTTTACAACATGTTTCCCCTACACCATGTGTAAACAATATACAAACAATATCACACATGGTGTAGTCGGTTATAATGACAAATCAATTTTGTTACAATTTTTGTATACTTAACAATTATATTTTGTCGTGAGCTCAAACTAATTTATGGGTGGGATCATATAATAAGTTGTGTAGTGTTTTAGTTAGTTTGGGAGCAAGATTGGGAGTACCTGCCACTGGATAATAAAGGACTCTTATTGTGAAGTCAAGGGTGAGAGAAACACCGAGTCTTTTATTTTGAAATCTCGTGGTGTCGCCAGCTCTCGTGGCGCGCGCGCGCACACACACACAAGGAGAGAGAGCTCGAGACAGAGACATAGGCAGCTCGATAGTAGTGGTGTAGCTACATTGGCAGCGGCAAGTATGAGATAAGTTTCCTGGGTGAGCTAGGCTGGTTGGCAGCCGTTGTCGCATTCTTGGAGAAACACAACGCAACCCGGTGGACGTCGAGAGGTGGCGGAGACAGTCCGTGTTACTGGAATAACTGGTGGATACACACGGGTTTTTTTGGGATACAGCGCAGAGCAGCGTCGGCAGCAGCAGCAGCAGGAGCGCGACGAGTGCTTTGGCGGCGGTCCCGCTGCTAGCGAAACATGAACAAAAACCACCGAGTGCCGAGCAACCGTTCTCTGAGTGCCGTGGAGGTGAAGAGCAAGGTAATGTTTCATGTGGAGAGTTTGTCAGTTTACTGTATCTGTAGTCTTAACCCCATGATGATAACTCTGGCTAATTTAGCCGGCTAAGTGGCTTGATAGCGAATTATGATGTCGCACAAATGACATAGATACAAGCTAAAGCTTAACTAGCCAACACGGGTTTCCCTACTCTTGACTAGCCCGCTAGTAGCTCGCCATACTTCAAACTTTACGTTAACCGTGGCGTTTAGTTTGGTTCTAAGTTGCTCTGAGTAACGTTACGTTTGAAGGTGGAGGTTTTTGTCACCTGTCCCAGGCTCCTCCGCCGCTCCTCCCTGTTAGCGTAACATCTATTGAGTCAAAGTTCAAGTCAAGTTTCGAGCCACAACAACGCCATGGGCAGTGAACATAATACGTGTATGTGAAACTAGCCCGGCATGACATGTTTAGAGTTGCTTGCTGGGTCGTTTCCCTGTGCGTAGAGGTGTCGTACGGCCTGCGCCAGGCTCGTGTCTCCTTCCGCGACAGTCTGTCCTGTGGCATGATTAGACACGCATGCTGAGGAATGGGGCCTCAGTGCTGCTCAAAACTACTTTGTAAGAGCTGAATGAGATGAAACAAACTGCGACCAATTTGTTTGTGTCACTACCTTCATAGTTGTCAATCACAATGTAAGTTTTCCCCTCCAACCGCTTTACACAAAGTATTAAAATACTCGCTCAGTGTGTTCAGCTTCTTCCCAAACCAGAGCAGTCCAGGGTCATTTGAAATGTTTTGTCTACTCACGTCCCGAATGCGGGTACTTACCAGAAACAGGCCTCGGGGCCTGCTTTGTTTCCCAACCTATAGTTCATGTAGTTCTGCTTTCTGCTACTGCATAAAATGCCTCAGAGTGACTGTGTGTCCAGGTTGGCAGTGAATTGTAGATCATCTTTTGTCAGCGCCGGGCAACCGTAACCACAACGCTTCTCATCAACACCACCGATGGGACCCAAACAGTTGCCTAAAGATTATGTATCTGCAGCCATTGGTCGGGCCAGACCACAGTGATCACCACGTTCCTCATGAGCCAGCTTTGTGGGAATGTGTGGCTGCTGTAAACACACAGTCTTTCTTACAGCTGAATACCAACATTCCGTCAGACGGCTCCATTAGACAATGCCGGTCAGTCAGGAACACACTGCATCCACAAACGCAGAAACGTAGAGATACACACGTATCACAAAGTCTGCATTAATAATTCATCACATGTGGTGTGTTAGCTTGTCCACATGGATGACAGACTCTTGCATATACAGCTCACAGTGGTTTTGAAATTAGCTAGGCTACCAGAACAGTGTGTACGTATCAGACACAGCCTCAAATCTCAGACCCCTTCAGAACTTCTTAATTATGCGTGCATATATTGGAAGCATAGGCTTTACACAACATCTCGGCTATCTTGCAGTTTCTTTGGCCCAGTATTAATCAGTTTCTGAAGCACCCTTTATATCCATGTGTTTGTATTGTGCTCACATGTGTGTGCCCGTCTGCTCCGTCCCAGTTTGGCGCAGAGTTCCGTCGGTTCTCGCTGGATCGGTCGAAGCCGGGCCGCTTCGATGAGTTCTACGGCCTCCTGCAGCACGTGCATCGCATCCCCAACGTGGAGTTGCTGGTGGGCTACGCCGACGTCCACGGCGACCTGCTGCCCATCAACAATGATGATAACTACCACAAAGCCATCTCCACTGCCAGCCCTCTGCTCAGACTGTTCCTGCAGAGGAAAGGTAAGCACGGGGGAAGTGTTGGAACAAAGAGTGATTGTTTGTTGGGGCAGATCTGCTTTCTGATGGATACACAAACAAAAGTTTTCTGTTATCTCAGAATAGTATAGCTTAGAAATACGAGATGGGCCGTTAAAAGGGAAAATTTGCTGTTACGCTTTGTGTATTTTGTCTAGATAATAAAAAAGGTAAGATTATGAAAGACCATGGTATCACATTACCTTTTAATTTTTTTAGGCTGCTGGTGTATTTTGTCCTCATTGAGCTGTCATCACCCCTGTTCCCTAGCTATGTCTTCTGGTGTCCCTTTCTGACCCACATAGCTAAAGGTCAGCGACCTTGCTGTGTTTGTGTGAAGCAGTGTTTGTTTCCAAAGGCAATTTCTCTGCAAGGGCTGGACCAAACAAAAAACAAGTCAACTTAAAGAGAATATGAATATTTTCATTCTCCCTCAATTCTCTCTGACTACCAATAGTCAAACTGCCATGGTGGTATTTGTCCGATTAGCATATCCTGTTTCTTTGGCGCGTTACTTGGATATTTGCGGTTGCGCTAATATTTGCTCATGACTGTTAGTTTGCTAGTCATTGTTTGCAGGTGTTTAGGGATTAGTGTAAACCTGTTTCTATTGACAACATATATTTAAAAAAAAAAAAAAAAAAAAAAAAAGAATCTTGATTTGAATAGATTTTTGAAGTGTGCCTAATGAGTTGCAGAGCGTGACCTGTTGAATGCAGGGAGGACCCTCGGGCTGTACGGTCCGGGGCCGGTTGGGCTGCACGCTCTGTTGTGTTTAAGCTGTCTTCCTGTGCCATATGACCCTATACAAGCTAAGCCACTTTGTCAGGAGGAGATTAGTGGGGTCACCGTGCAGCGCTGCATGGGACCGTGTTTCAATTACACGCCCCAGACGCTAGCCCCACGCTGGGCTCGCTGCTGCTGCTGCTCACACACACATGCACAAAAACACACAGAAACACATGGTCATGCAGGCAAGCAGGCATCACACATCAGTCCGGCACTCACACACAGCAAGATTGAACAAAGACAAAACACACACACACTAATTCAGCCACAGCCCCCTGTAGACCCTTTTGCACTCAGACCCCGGTTTCCCCTCCTGATTTGCAGACCCCCCTTCACCCTAATGCTAAGCACCAGTTGGTCCCAGCTTTAAGGGCTCTACAGTGTGCGGATGCAGCAAGTTGGCCGCTTATTTATTATATTTCTGCAGTTATTATCTCTAGCGATGGCTCTGTTTGTGTGTGTGTGTGTGTGGAAAGTGTCTCACATCTTTGCAATCCGAGCTCATGGCAACATGTAGTCGAACTGACAGTGGATGAAAAGTTATATTGTTTTGGAGGAATTATTTTAACGTTAATAAGTCCTCCACGATCCTGTTTGTTGTCATCAGCACAAATTACCCTACACCAAAAGAGTTATTTTATTTTATTTGTTTAAAACCCTCATTTAATCAGGCGAGTCGATGAAGAACTATGACGGTCTTAGTGGAGGGGTCACACCTGTGCCACACTACCACAGTTTTCTGCTCTACACCACTTTGTGTGTAGTGCACCACAACACTTCAGTCTTACAGTCGCAAACTGGCTTTTAACATCATCAGACTACAACTGTATCCTTTGAGAGCTGAGCGATTATGTAAATGTCTTAGATAAGTTAGATGTGATCGCTCATCATTGCATAAGAGCAGGACTTCAGACGAGGCAGCGGTGTGGGCCCAAGTTTGTCACAACTTGGCCTTCATGGAATAGCTCAGTGCAATCTCATTACACAGATGTTTGGAGCTAATAGAAACAACACTGAATCTCCAGTCTCGTTGACATAATTCCCGGCACGGTTCAGTCCATGCGTGTCGTATGAGGTTATTTTGGGCAGTGCATTATATTTGTCCAAGGCTAGGTGCTCTGCGAGTTCTTTTCATTCACTGATGTGCAGATGGTTCGATGGATGGAGGGATGGATGTTAGGCTGCGAGTGTCTGTTGTTGCTTTGTTCTGATGTGGTTGTTGAATAATGCCCGCATTGTTGTTTATGCATCAACGCTACATCACCGACCAGCCATTAACGCCGCATTGTTCACTGCTGACCAATGGAGGAAGTTTTTGTGTCTGTGCTGGTCATTTTTTAAATTGCTTCAACAGGCACCGGTATAACCCAACAGCACCGGGGGATCCCTTACACCCCACCGCCCCCACCTGTGAGCAATGCGTGGGTGAATATTGAGCAGTGAGGCCTCCACTGTTTACTGGTTGACATGGCAGCAGTGAAGAGGCCTGTTCATAGTCGGATTAACATTGCATGAGGCTGATGGGAGCTGCAAAGCATGCTGGGAGCAGTATTGCTAGCATTTGAAAACACAGATTGTCTTAAAGGGACAGTTCACCCTAAAATGAGAAATACATATTTTTCCTCTCTCCTGTAGGGCTTTTTATCACATACATTGTGTTGGTGTGAGTTAGGAGGTATTGGACTAAATGACACTTGGCTTGTGGTGCTCAAAACATACAAACTCAACAGTCATGTCTCTTTCTAGAAATCATGACCCAGTTACTCAAGATGACCCGCAGGCCTTGTTGTGAGCAGTTTCATGTAGGAACTACCTCTGCCAACCGCTTCAGCGCGCAGAAGGAAGCATGCATCTCCTCATGGACCAGCTTACACCACTTAGCACCACTGAGCTAGCTAACATAGCTCAGCCGAGGAGGGCACCATTAATGTTTACATCTACTGCTGTCACGAGCGTGAGCCTCTCGTCCATGAGTAGTAGATGCTTCCTTCTGTGTGGTGATATGGTTGGCGGGACACACCCAGATCCAAGCTTCACTAGTAGGTGTAGTTTGTTAGAAAGAAAATAGTTCCTTCATTGAAAAGCTCACAAAAAGGTGTGTAGATTATCTTGAGTAACCGGGTCATGATTTCTGGAAAGAGACATTACTGTTTTTTTCTAATGTATTTTAATTCCATTTTATTGGAGAGAAGGCAGACATCTCTATGGCCGATATCTCCAATACTCTGCAACTCGCACCAAAACAATTTAGATTGATCAGTAGCATTATAAGTAACGGGAAAGAAATATGTGTTTTTGATTTTGGGGTGAACTGTCCCTTTTTAAAGGTCTGTCTTTTTGTAACTTAATCCATCATTTGGATGTGTCTGATATCCTCATGTAGTTGTAGCTACTTTGAGTAGTGTATGTCTCAGAGACACTACAGAATCAGAATCAATAAAATGTAAATGACACCCAGTCCAGACAGCACATTAGATGAGAGTTTTTAGGAGCTACTTCCTGGTCCTCGCTGTTTTTGCTCAGCTCTGTGTAAACAGAGACTGTTGCGGTCAGTAGTCAGCTGTTGAAGAAGAAGTGGTCAACTGAGTGATGTCTGTTTCTTTTTAAAGCTAGTACGAGGTCCTTTCATTGTTAGGGTTTCCAAACACTAGAGTCCTGTAGGAAACCTCTTATTTTACTGTGGCGGAGTCTGACAGTCGGCCCTGCGCACCCTGGTGTTGGTGTCGGCTCCCAAGATTTCACGCAGAATCCGACCCGGTGGTCGATGACGTGCATTACAAAAAACGATGTAGAAAATAGCCAATCTTGTAATTGATGGTCTTGTTTACTTATGTCGGTCATATAGAAGCATCTGTATTTAACTGAGACTGTTACATAACTAGTTAAAAATACTTTTGTTTGTCCTTGTTGTCATATCAGCAGTGTGGAAACGCCCAGGTTTGTGTTTGATTGGCTGTAAACATGTTTGCCAGAAGTGATGTCGTGTTTGCTTGCATCTGTCATCCAGAACGTTATCACCCGCACAACATACACAAAGTTTCTAGGTTGTCACCCGTGTAGCGGTAGCAGCTTTTCAAGCAGTCTCTCTCAGGGCGTGGGTTTGTTTTGTGATGTTGCTCAACGCTCACACAGTTTCAGTCCTGAATGGCCTGTCACTCATCCCCCGGTATGGTAGAGGGGAAAAACAGGTATGGAGAGGGACAGGAATGCTTGTATTTGCGTATCCCAGCAGGAACTGCCTTTGTAATTAGTAACCTGCCCATGACTCATCCAGCCAGAGAAAAGGAAATGTACAGTGTGAAATTACAACACGGACAAAGGCTACCCACCCTGCAAAACAAGCATTGGAGCAGGATAACAGCAGCAACTCTTGAGTGCGATAAGCAAGGTACCGAGGCTGCTAAGTAATGAAAGGGAGGTAGGTGTACAGTGGAGGAGATAGGGTGACAGTCAAAAAGAGCCAGTCGAAACCAGGAAGACAGTGTGGTGGAGGAAAAGATTTGGATGAAAGAGACCCGGCATAAAACATTCAGACTAATTGAGGACGCCACAACAAGATTTACTACTGCGAGCTCGAGATGAAAGGATTAAAGCAAGGGAGACGGAGTGCTGGCAGGTGTAATGGAGGAAGACTGGAGAGAAGTTTAGCATGATGTGTGAAAATAATAGAAATCAACCACCGTTGCTTTGGATGTCAAGTTTTCCACATGAGAATCATTCCCTAGGATGCTGTGAGGGAATGACGGATTCAAAGCTATGGAGGAGGAATGTGTGGAGGAGGAACATATCGTAGGCCTAATAAGAGACGTGGAAGGATGAAAGGGAGACAGAGTAAAGCGTATTAAAGAGGGAGTAATGTATACGGCATTGTTTAGGCAAGGCATGTAATTAGAGATGTGGGGAAAGCAGAGGGAGTAGTGTAAGTGTGAGAGGAATGCAGCGAGAGGGAGAAGGAGAGGAGGATAGTGGGAATAGCATTAGTGAGGGAGGAATGCAGAGTGAGGCCCAAGCTGGGGAGGGTGGGAGAGAGAAATAAAGAGAGGGAAAGAGATGGAGGGAGGGGGCATGTTGGATGGAATGTGGCCAGCCTCTGATCACGTCTGCCGGCAAGATTAGACAGGACAGGAGGCCGGGCCGGACCCTCGGCTCCAGAGCCTGGCTCCGTCAACTGGGGGGGGGGGGGTATAGATGGACAGAGAGACGGTGAGCGGTCGTGAAAGCAAAGGAGAATGAGTGAAAGAAAGAAAGCTGAGAGCATTTCAAAACAAGCGAGAGCACACAGCCTGGGAAGCTAAAAAGCCTTACTCTCTACCCTGTGAAACCTGGCTGGGAGAGACTTTAGGCAGGCCGCAAGGACATGGAGGCAGGGTGGCTTAGATGGAAGAAGAGGGGGGGGGGGGGGGGGGGGGGG